TAGAAGCAACCAGTAATGTGCGGGCAGTTTCCACAATATGACGGTGTTTTCTTTCAGCACAGCCATTTTGTTCAGGAGTGTGAGGACATGTTAAACGATGAATAATACCATGAGTGTGAAGAAAAGACTCAAACTGAGCACCAATGAATTCACCCCCTGAATCTGACTGCAAAATTTTGATTTTATTTCCAAGGAGATTTTCTACATATTGTTTGAATACAACAAAAGTAGAATAGGCATCAGATTTTGCCTTTAATGGAAATAACCAACTATATCTACTGAAATCATCTACAAGCAACAAGTAGTACTTAAAGCCACTAGGAGAAGTGATGGAGGCAGGACCCCAAATATCACAGTGGAGTAGTTGCAGACTGTGAGTACTTGTAGAACTGGCAGAACCAAAAGGAAGCTTGTGACTCTTAGCTAAAGCACAATCTGAGCAGAAAAGATCACCAGCAGGTTTGCCTTGCACGACAAGCTTATTTCCTGAAAGAACCTTGCGAAAAATAGAGGAAGATGGATGACCCAATCTTCGGTGCCAAATTTGGACAGGAGCTTTGACACTTATTAAAGCCGAGGGTGATGAGGAGGTGGGATGACTAGAGCCTTGAAGAGGATAGAAGCCATCTTCAACTCGTCCCCGCAAAAGCGTCTTCCCCGAAACTCGATCCTTTACAGTGGATCCATCAGAGTCAAGAGTCAAGGCACAATTATTATCTTTTAAAAATTGATAGGCAGATAATAAGTTGTGTTTCATAGCAGGTACATGTAAGACATTACGCAACTTGAAGGAAGTATGAGATGTATCTAAAGAAGAGATACCAATATTGTGAATAGGCAGACCTTTACCATCTCCTATATAGACCTTGTCTTCACCAGTGTAAGGAGAGGCAACAGAGAGATTTGCAATGTCATTCGTGATATGTGAGGTGGCTTCAGAATCCAATAGCCAAGATGGGGATGGTTTGGATGAGTAGTGAGCACAAAGAGCAGCAAGTTTGGCTGGTGGCACCCGTCCAAAGATCTCAGGATTCATCCTATCAAAACAATCAATTGCTTCGTGGCTGGTGGAACCACATATTTGACAGGTGTTCTTGTGATTTGATGAAGAACCTTGGTTGTTAGATCGGGAGCCTTGATGAAAGGTACGAGGCTGACTTGTACGATAAGTACCAGTGGAGTTGCCTCGTGAATTACTGACATTTCGATTGCCTCGGAAAAAATTGCGATTGTTCCGGCCTCTGTTAGAATTATACCGAGAAGAAGATTGAAGAGGCTGACTATATGCAGCAAAAGCCTGCGAAGAAGGCGTTGGGAGCAAAGGTGCTTGAGACTGAACAGAGAAAGCTTGAAAGGGCTCCGTAGCAGTGGGAGACAGAGTGTGCTTGCGACGAGCCAGGGAAAGCTCTTTGGTCAGCAACAGACCATGCAATTCATCAAGAGAAGTAGAAGACAACCGCAGCATGATGGAGTCAATGAAGGACTCAAATTCATCAGGAAGACCGTGAAGCGTTGCAGCAATGAGATCACGATCAGATACAGTGGCGCCAGCAGCATTGAGAGAATCCGAAATTTCCTTGATTTGCTGTAGATATTCCGAGATCGATTGAGATCCTTTTTGAATCAATTGAAGACGAGAACGAAGCTGGTGAATATGAGCTTCAGAGACGCCACCAAAGCGTTGTTCAAGCTTCTGCCAAAGTTCTCGAGATGTGGACACCCCTACCGTGAAGGGAATGAGATCTTCGGATAAAGTCGAGTTGAGCCAAATCAAGAGGTTTTGGTCTTTTTCAAACCACTGCTCAAATGCTGGATTCAGGGAGCGATCAGGGAGAAGGGGAGCCGGACATGGCTCAGTACCGTCGACGAGGCCAAGAAGTTTGTATCGGCGCAAGATCGGAGCAAATAACGCACGCCATGGAAGGTAATTGGTGCGTTTGAGCTTGATAGGCACCATGCTACCAATATTTTGGATCGTTAGAGACATATACGAGGTCTGAGGATTTGCAGAGAAATTAGGGTTTGGCGACGGAGACGAAGAGTCAGAGGGGGAGGCCATGAGATACAAGTGCAAGATGCGAGAGAGGAGGAAGAATCAAAGACAGAAAACACAAGATCGATCACGAAATCGATCAAGAAATCGATCGAGAGAGAGAGAAATCGATCAAGAAAGCCCCAAATCAACGAAATTGTAAGAAAACTCAGATGTATCACCGACTCAAAATTGAAAGAAATTGTAGACAAAAGCCACCAGGACAGAGCAAGAACAGGGATCAGAATACCAAATCACTGAAGAAATCTGATCAATTTGAACAGAAATCAGAGAAGTAGAGCGGAAGAAATGGAGGATCGAATGCCGGTAGGCTTATGGCGATGAAACCATGTAGAAATGTTGAAGAAGATATTTCTCATTATCTTTTAACTGACAGTACATTGAGATATATATAGTCACTAAGACTCTTTATATAAGTAACCTTATCTTCTACAACTAATTACACAAATACCACAACTAACTATTTACTGTTGTAACTAAATTGTGACTGGGTTAGGTCTCTCAATAACATATACACTACAAAGGCAAGTTTCATGCATCAATCATCTTCCAAGCCAACAATTTCTAGGATATACGATGTCACTTAGCGCCCGTGATGCATAACTTCGTTGCGAATCATGACATGATATATTTTGTCTAAGTTGCTGCTAATTAATTTGTTCATGTTTCCAAAGTTCCAACTGAATAATACTGCACTTCAAACTCGTCTCTTCAATCTGTTCGTATAAAATCAGAATCAACGTCAGTTTTCCGAGTTTTGCGCGGTTCAGGTCACATGACATTAAGCATTAGTAGGCGTAGTTTGGAACTTGATTGAAAAAGAGTTAGCGTCCGTTTATTACCTCTAGCGTGGATATGTTTCGGAAAAGCTCAATACACTCCTCTAAAAGCAATTTTTCTTGTGCAACCACCTCCGCTAGTTGCGATAGTAAAGGAGCAGCTTGCTCAGCCTGTTCAAGAATTGGCTTCAATGTAAGTCAACATTACATGAATCCCGGGTATACAACATTACAAAGCAACTGAAGCATACCAATGGCGAAAAACCAGCAAGCAACAACTTAATGGAAGCTGTGAGATCCGAAGCATGTCGAAGAGCAGTGGAAGCAGATTGAGTGTCCACCTGCATGCGCACTCAGTTTTGTTAAAACACATCTCTCTTGCCGAAGACAAAAGCTTAGGGTCAGTTTCCCTTGGCCTACCTCTGCATCTTCAACGAGGGGCACCCTGCAAACAACAGAATGCAAGCACTCTTTCATCCTGCACACTGCTGCAGTATGTTGCCTTTCCATATCTCCCCAAGACGCCAACGGCTTAAGCTACGCAAATCACAAACAAATTAGTCACATATTTGTTGTGTTTGGCTCATATAATTATGAGTTGGCAAACATTTCCTCTCAACTTTGTGGACTTTGAAAGCATGTTTTGTGGAAGCATGTTTTGTGGAAGCATGTTTTGAGGAAGCATGTTTTGTGGAAGCATGTTTTGTGGAAGCATGTTTTGAGGAAGCATGTTTTGTGGAAGCATGTTTTGTGGTTGACATAATTGATGGTGCATGTCTATAAGTGAAGGCATTTTTCACACACAAAATGGAGTGAGCTTGTCGATTGTGAGGATTGGGAGAGCATCCAAAGGAAAACACAAGTGAGAGAAAATATAGAGTGATAGTGAGAAGCTCTTGGGGAGAGTAAGACTCTTGGGAAAATTCTGTGAGGGTACAAGGGATTGGGGTTTGGGTTATGTCGATTTAACTCAAGTGTATCTTGTACTAGTTATTCTCATAGTGAAGAGTAATATCTCCGGGGACGTAGGCAGGTTTTTGCCGAACCTCGTAAAATTTCTCGGTGTCTTTATTTCTTGTATTTTAAATTGTTCAACTGTTGGTTTATAAGTTGGTGAGATAACGGGCCAAGGCACAACAATTGGTATCAGAGCTTTGTTGGAAGCTTTGGTTCATTGACGGTTCAAATTTTTTATTCACCATGATGACTACAAACATGTCATTTTCAGTTGAGAAGTTTAATGGGAAAGGCAGTTTTACTCTTTGGCAGATGAGAGTAAAGGATGTCTTGACTCAACAAGGCTTGGCTAGAGCTTTGAAGGGAAAAGATGGGAAGCCTCAAGAAATGACAAATGACAAATGACCAGTGGGAGGAGCTGGAGGCGCGTTGTGTTAGCACGATTCGACACTGTATAGCTGATAACATTATCAATAATGTTATGGATGAAGATTCTGCGCCTGCACTTTGGGAGAAGTTGGAAAAACTCTATATTGCTAAGAGTTTGACCAACAAGTTGCATTTGAAGCGGAAACTGTACAAGCTGAAGATGGATGAAGGTGGGAATCTCATGGACCACATGAATGAGTTCAACGGATACTTGGATCAATTGCGGAAAGTTGATGTTAAGGTTGAGGAAGAAGACAAAGCCCTCTTACTTCTTACCTCACTTCCAAATTCGTATGAAAATCTTGTGACAACCTTACTGCATGGAAAAGATACAGTAAGTTTGGAGCAGGTGCAAGCTTCTTTGGTGTCTTATGATACACAAAAGAAGAAGACCATTGTTGATGGTGGGCACGAGACTGCTTTAGCTGTTCAAGGTTGGAATCGTGGAAGAAAATTGGGAGAAGGATCTGAGAGAGACAACAGGTTCAAATCCGGTTCCGGAGGCAAAGGTCTACAATGCTACAACTGCAAAGAATTCGGGCATAAAAAGAAAAATTGTCCTTTGAGAAAAAGAAAGGATGATCTTGGTCCGGGTTGTAGCAATTTTGTGGCGGAAGACTTCGAGTATGCCCTCTAGGTACTCGAAGCAACACTTCTCCTGGTGATGTTTAGTCTCAAGTGTTGCAAGGGTTTTGCAACAGGTGGAGCTATGGGATTCACAGGTGATGAGATGATCATGAGGTAGGAGGAAGTGTGGGAATTTTGTCTGGCTCGATGGGTTGTTACTGGAAACGGGCGCGCTGACGAGTTTCCAGGTTGCAGACAATGAAGAGGAGGAAAACCTGCTGGAGGAGACGAGGATATGTCGAGATCCTGTCTGAAGCTAAATGGTGATTTTTAGCTTGCAGCAGCTGCACATGCATTGGCAGTGACTGAATCGGAACAGGACCAACGAGGTTGATTCAGGGTGTGTATGCTGGTACGTAAGGCCAATGGACTTTGGTGATGGGTGCAAGGATTTTTGCACAGTATATTCGCCAAGGTGGAGATTGTTGTGTTTGGCTCATATAATTATGAGTTGGCAAACATTTCCTCTCAACTTTGTGGACTTTGAAAGCATGTTTTGTGGAAGCATGTTTTGTGGTTGACATAATTGATGGTGCATGTCTATAAGTGAAGGCATTTTTCACACACAAAATGGAGTGAGCTTGTCGATTGTGAGGATTGGGAGAGCATCCAAAGGAAAACACAAGTGAGAGAAAATATAGAGTGATAGTGAGAAGCTCTTGGGGAGAGTAAGACTCTTGGGAAAATTCTGTGAGGGTACAAGGGATTGGGGTTTGGGTTATGTCGATTTAACTCAAGTGTATCTTGTACTAGTTATTCTCATAGTGAAGAGTAATATCTCCGGAGACGTAGGCAGGTTTTTGCCGAACCTCGTAAATTTCTCGGTGTCTTTATTTCTTGTATTTTAAATTGTTCAACTGTTGGTTTATAAGTTGGTGAGATAACGGGCCAAGGCACAACAATATTAACACAAGTTCGTTTGGATCAATCCAAACGTCTATACACCATAAAATATTGTAACGAAAATCTGTATGTATCGTAGTTTGCTACTCACTTGGGAATAAAGTATAAAGTTCAGCTTCATGTCAAGCTTTTCTTTATGTAGCTTCACTTTCTTTTGTAGCACGGAATGTTGCAACTTCATCAAACCGTCCCAAGCATATAAAACATTGATCTACAAAATGTTTAAGAATGTAAAAAGACTTTCATCGGAAACCTGACCGAACTAAATATAACTCTATATCGAGTGCTTCCACTTCTAATTGAGCCGAGACATACCTGTGCTTGATTTGCTATGTTCTGATTCACAACATCAGCTCTAGCATTCGCAAACCGCCACTGCAAGATTCGATTATGAAGCAACCGAAGCTGATGACCCATCTCTGTCATACTTGAACCCGAAGAAACTGAACCATACCTCACCAACACACTAGACGGCGAAGAAGAAGATTTTTTAGTCTTGAACAAGTCCAACCCCAAGTTGAGCAACTTCTCCACCCCTTTGGTTTTTGAGGGACTCATAGGAGGCTTCATGCTCGAAGACGACAATTGAACTCCCTTATTCTCCACAGACATCGTCGGCGACCCTGTTCTTCCCGGTGAAAGCGCCCACTGTGTGGTCGCTGTCAGCGAATGAGCCCTCCTGATCACATTTTTAATGGTGAATTTGTTCAGCTTCGGAGACTTGTCTCCCGATATCGGATTTGCGATGTTAGAATCCGATGTCCGTCTCCGATGCCTTAAGGTAATCTCATTCATGTACTTAGAAGAAACCTCCACACCCGATTTTCGAGCACTCTGACCGACATTTGGAGACCCCATGGTCATCCCTGAATAGCCGTCACTGCACTCCGATCCCGAATCAAGAGCATCCGAAATTCGGCGAGACGACTTCTGATGCAGAGCATTTTCGTCCACTGAAAATCTCCGAGGAGCAGCCACATTTGAATTGCTCGAAAACTTGCTCGAAGACGACGAAGTAGAAGAAGACGACGAGTTAGATTTTCCGGGAAAACTGAATTTTCCAGTGTATCTCATTGACCCACCAAAAATGGGTCTGTGATTTTCTTTGGCGTTTTCTTTCGGATTATCCAACAAACCAAACTCTCTGTAGCTCCTCTGTCTGTCAAAGATTGAACCTTTACGTTCGATTCGATCTTCTCGCCCGTCGTTTCCGAGGTGGTCGGCGAGAGTGTCGAGTTTCTTGTGCGACGACATTGAGGAGGGCCATAGTCCGCGGTTGGGGCCCGAATCGTCGATTTTGGGTTTGCGGCGGACCGGCGAGATGGGGTGGTTCGGTGATGGGAGCGTGGTGGTTTCTGCGGTGGTTGGCGACGATAGAAACCGAGAGCTTACTTCCCGGTATTTGGGTCTTCTGGGTTTGTGGAATTGGTCTGTTACCACTTGATCATTCTTCATTGTCTGTAATTTTTAAGAGAGAGAGAGAGAGAGAGAGAGAGAGAGAGAGAGAGAGAGAGAGAGAGAGAAGCGTTTTGACGACTTGTGTGTGTGAGAAATGGAGGATTTGAGAATTTGATTTTCTCTGCGTACGTTTGGGAAACAGATGAGACAAAAACAAACCACCACATTCGAAATGGCGGCAAAGCAAAAGAGCTCATGTGCCGGCATATCAGGGGGCTCTGTGAGATATTGGAGTGGAATTACTGAAAAGCCCTCGTGAGGGATGACTTGGTTATGGTCAAACACACAAAAAATATTGCATTAAATTTTTTACTCTTTAATACTATCATCATTCGATGGTTATATATTTTTCTTGTATGTCAATGTCATTACAGTATATATATTCTTTTGTCAATAGTTGAGTTGGGTTTTGAGGAGAGAAGAAGGAAAGGGGTGGGAAGCTTCGAACCCAAGTGAAAATGTTAGCACCACTTTGAATGATATATTTTAAATAAAATTTATCAACTTGTAGTAGGTTAAACGAAGAATGGTAAAATACTAGTTATTACGAATCTTGAGATAAACTTAAAATACATAAAGTCACTATAAAATATAGATAAATTTAGAATATTTCTTACACTTGCATCATTTAATTACAACGATACATGTAACCAGGGGCAGATGCATTGAGGGGCAGGATGGGTCAGCTGACCCTCAACTTCAATGAATGTCCACATATAACTTAAATGTTGACCCTCCGAACTTCGATGAATGTCCTTGAATGACTTGGATGTTGCCCTTTTAAAAGTTGGAGTTGCCTTTCATATATGACTTTCAACTGCTTGATAAAATGCATTAGAGAGGTGTTGCCCCTTTACAGTTTATTCATAATATTATTTACCTTTGGCTTGTTTGTTGATTGTGATTACAATTGTAGGCAGAAAAAAAAAGAAACAAGTAAAAAACTATCCAAAAATGCAAAGTAAATGAAATGTGATCTCAAACAATAACAAAGCATTATCATTCTTGGACAAACATATTAATGAGATGCAATGATATCAAACATTGTTAGTGTGTTCAATATAAGTGTGTTTCTTTGTTAAGCATTTATATGGGAGCAGCCTTGAAACATGTTAGTTACTCACGCAAATGAGACATTATAGATGTGCAGTATGTCTTTCCAAATGACTTCAGACCTACCAATACTCGATGAAATGACGATATGCATGCTATTTATGTTAACAAAAAATTTGCACGTTGTGAGCACTATTCTTACTGACCCATCTAATATTATTTTCTGGATCCACCACTGCATGTAGCATATTTATGTACTGAAATTACACGCAATTTATCAAACTAATAATTACCTCTTGCACTTTATTTAGTGTTACATGAAAAAGAGGTTAGATGAAACTAATTCATCCTTGGAAATTTAGATGTTTTTGTTTTGGGTGGTGAAAAGATTGAATTTATGAGTTAACGAAGGGATAATATTGTGTTAATTTAATTGAGCCCGCAAAGTTAAGAGATAACGAAGGGTTTCATGGGAATCTACCATTTGTCAATATTTGTTTTTGTAAGCTTCCGCAAATAAATTGGTATTTGATAATTTGTTATTAGTTTAAAATTTTTGGGTTAAAGTTGTTATGTCCTTTGCTGCTTTATATAAAAAAATTGCAAAAATGAACGCCGTTGCCGGGGATCGAACCCGGGTCACCCGCGTGACAGGCGGGAATACTTACCACTATACTACAACGACCTTGTTGCCCTAATCGACTGTTTTATTTTATTTCTAGTCTTAGGCCTTTGACACCATTTTTCACTTCCCTACATTGTTAATCCTGATGGGCCATGAATTGAAGTTATGGAATAGTTTTTTCTTCCTCTACTAATTCTGATTTCTCCCTACCATACCGAGTACCATGATAGGCAGACAAGTGTTATGGGTTCAAACATAGACTTTACATTTTCCCACCCGTTTGTATTCCATCGAGCGATAATTTAATCTAATTCACAAGCACGAAATCTAAACTTGGAGTATCTGAATTACGTGTACGAGAATTTGAACTTGAGGACAGAGGAGGGAGTTCTAGCCAACTTGGCTACTCTCACGTCTCTAGCAATGTTCGTTAATGTTTGTACCGTTGTAGTTAAATCTTGAATTTTCTCTAGAACCTGGCCAACCAATTGACCAAACAAATTATAAGGATACAACAAAGGTTATGCAGTTCAACCTACACCAACAAATACTGCAAAAGAAAATAAATGTTGAAGAATAGTGGTTAGCATTAACAATTCTGAAGGGCTTACATGAAGTAAAATCATCATCTATACTACAACACACCTAGGAGGATCAAATAAATACCCACCCATCTTACAACCACTACCCCATCCATCCATCCATCTATCCATCCATGCTTTCATCTTGCAAGAATCCTGCAAGCACTCATCCATGTCGTGGTAGAGTCGAAACTTCCATGCCTGAAAACTCAATGGAAATTGCACCGTTGCAATAACGAATGACTATAATCAACATATTTCTCCCAGAGGGGCTTGTACTTTTCCATTCCGATCTTCAACCACGGTTTTGAGTTGCCGTTGTAGTGCAGCACAGCACCTTTCTCTATGAAGTGAGGGTCAACGGTTGTGTAGCCCAAACCCAGAATATGCCACGAGGCATCCAAAGGCTCTGTCAATCCGTAGAATGTCAACAATCCGGGTGGTAGTGTGCCGAGTTTCCACAATGTCCGGTCTACATTTCTTTCCTGCCAGTAGTGGTAGATGCCGGTGACATTCCTTTTCCTCCATTGAACCAAATCAAAAACATTCATCCCAAACGCCCATCCACAAGCATCAGGATCAAAATGCGCTCTTATGAGAGGGTGAGAGTAGTTCAGATATTTATGGTATCTGTGAAATGTCTCCATGCATGTCTCCACCGCACCATTGACATTACCGTTCAAACTAATGGAGAACAGATCAGATAGATCCTTCTTAACCACAACATCATCATCCAGAAAAACCACCTTCTTCAGGGCAGGAAAAACTTCCGGAATATAAAACCTCAGATGATTAAGCATGGAAAGATACTTGGGGTTCCGAAACTTGATTGGTGTCCGCCCATTATCACTATTTCCAGAGAAATAATAACTCTGAGTATCAGAGTCTTGGAGCTGCTTAAGTACAGGAACATAAGAAGCATTCAACCATGTAAAATCCTCAAACTTTTGAACCTCAACGGCTACTCCTCTGAAGCTGTTTATGGAAAACCAGGCCTTCATTGCAGCATAGTTGATTTCATCAGTTACAAGATGGAAGACAATCTTATCTGGATTTTTGGAATTTATAGAAGTTGAATTGACCACAACTGAAGTTGCTAGGATGTTGTCAGAGAAGACGCAGAAATGATAGAGATTGTTATCCTTTACTTTCATTTCTATTTGCTTTCTGTCCTTGATTTTCCTCTGTATATTCGGCTTTCTGAACCATTCACTAGTCAGCTGAATACCAAGGCAGTAGAGACTTTTTGGGACTTCTTCAGCAGCTATTTGTCCATACTTTGAACTTTTGTCGCTCACCAAACTCATTTGTTCTTCCAGAGTTTGGATTTTGGCTTTCAGTCTCATGATCATGGTAGCACTATCATAATGGAGCTGCTGTGCTTGGTACAGTATAAGTGCCATATCACTGATTGCAGTTTCCGATTCTCTAACAGTCAGAGGAACTCGCCTGGTTGCAGCATTTGACAGCAGGATCTGCGAACTGCGAATCTGGGCACTTAATTCCCAAGCAAACTGAAGGTTGTTACTTTCTTTGGCAATCACAACAAATGCTTTTGCGAGAGCAATTTGGTCATTGAGCTGCCTTGCAACTGAGTTGGGGCTCAACATTTCGTCGGTAATATTAAGGCCTTCCATAATTCTATCACTCCTGAATTTCTGCGGAAGGAAATCAAGCACATATTTTGTTAAGTATGCAAAATAAGGGGGGTAAATGCATATTTATCACTTCCTCCAGAACAGAAAAGATGAAAACAAAGAGTTAATTTGTTTTCCAATATCTGGAAGGATGATATTGGTGCCACCATATAAGAGCAGCTTCCCAGCATCAAGAGCATATGACTTTTGTCAGGATTCACTTCCAATACAGAATGTTCGAATTCAGCGAGCATTTTTAACATGTTACGTTTAAATTTCATTTATTGAATATCACCATCAGTCGAAAGTAGATTATTAATCTTATAAAGTTATCTATATGAGTTAACTCTGGCCACACCACAGTAAATGTGTTGTCTTAAAGTTCCCGTTCTGGAGACTGGACCTATAACATTCACTCCTCCGCGTACTTAAAAATGACATCTACCTTGACTTTGTGATGACAATAAAATCTCTAGATTGTTCTATGGATCTATCAACTCTAGACATTTTACAAGAATCCACAACATGAGCAGAATAACCTGAAAACTTTGAAAACACTGAAAAGGACACAACCAAGCACATCCATATCATTTACAATGATTCAACAAACATTACTACTCCCTTTCAAAATACATTAACTATTCGTTTTCAGATTCTTCAGCCCTTTCGACGAAATCATTGGAAATAATAAGGTCATATCAGATGCCATCTAGATCGAGCTAAATCCCAACTAAATAACACTTCATTTTCTCTAATCGAGCCGAACCCAAGCATACAAAATCAAATCTTTGCTGTAGTAGCTAACAAATCCAAGTACAAGACAAAAATATTATTGAATCCTAAAGCTTACATCTTTTTGTTGTTTTAGCTCCCAAAACTGAAAAACTCAGAACCCAATTCAGCATTTTTTTTACCTCAGCTCCCAAGTTAAACAGAACCCCCAACATCCCATACTCCAATCCCCTCCATTTTCCCACAGTTCCCTACACTTTCTAGGCAACCAAACAGAGTTCAGACACCCAACTAAACCAAAAAAGGGCAGAGAAGTAATATACACATACCATGGGAATGACAGGTCTGGACTCCATCTGATTAACTCTGCTCAAAGTAAAAATGAAGAGCAAAACCGCAACCCCGCACAGCGCCCACCATAACGCATTTGGAAACCGCCGCCGGAGCGGCCTCCGGAAGTCCGCGGCTCTCCGCCTCATTACTCCCCACCGGTTCCAAATCTGAAGCGCCCAATCCAATCCCGCAAACCCGTTTGTTTCCCGAGAAAGTTGCAGCCCCTCTGAACAGAGATCGCAATCCGGATCAAAAGACGGAGTGGCTGGATCTTGTCACACAAGGAGAATTGGGAATGGGAATTTAGAGTTGTGGGGGTTGAATTTGTAGTGGGTTTTTGGATTGGGTGAATATTTAGTGAGGAAGAAAGGACCTTTGTCTGTCTTCTTCTTTCACAGAGAGACAACAACAGTTGGTCGGTTAGTTCGTGTGTTATAATTATGTGTGGAGTGGAGTGGCCTCTGCTTCTCTGTTTTTTTTTCATATTATTTTTTCTTAATTCGAAGCTCTAGAATGTTTTTTATTTATTTATTTTTTATTTTTTATTTATTTTTTTTTTATGGACGTACTATTAAATGATCCAAAAAAATTAACGGTCTTTTTATAAAAATCTAATAGATTTTTGCAACAATTGGATGTTCCGACTACAATTTTATGTTACACTCAATAATTGAAATTTATACAAAATTTAACTGTCTCAGAGTTTTATTAAATTTCTAATGCAATATCTAATAGTTGATTTTCTGATCGCAGCAGAGGGGTATGTAATTTAATTTGATTTGTATTGCATTTATTTGGTTTTATTGAGATGGAAATAGCATAATTGAAGCAGAACAAGCAAAGGTTAGTAGAATAATTAATTAAATTTGGTGATGTCATTTTCGTTTAATCCCTAAAAGTCTCTTTCCACTCGGACGAGACACAGCAACCCACATCTGAAACTCAAACTCACATTTCAGATTTATGACAATTATTGGTAATTGTATCGAGTGTACCAATAAGTGATGGCTGCCTCAATATTATTGGCAAAAAGAACGAGATGTCGTTGTGAAAGTATGAAATAATCTTGCATTGTTGTGTTAAAAAGTTAAAACATATAACTACACATAGTTGACTTATGATATTATCATAACAATTGATTTATGATACAACATTTTTCTTATTCTTTTTTGACCAAGAATAAAAAATTTAAGGTAGATTTCTTTGTTTGATTGGAAATGGTCTCAAGTTCGTCCTCACATCACCTCTCATTAATTTTTGTGTGGATTAACACTAATTTGTGAGTATATTTAATGAAAATGAACTAAAATTAAGTTATATTAAGTGCATGAGTCCAACTAGTTGAACAACATAATGTGTCTACTCAACTTGCTTTAAAATTTTGTAAGAGAGAAAAAAAAAAAAAAAAACCTTTATCTTAGTTCAGTGCCCTTTTTTTTCTTGATCCAAGGTGAGTAACGTGCTTAAAACTTGGGATTCGTCTTTAAAAGCTTGGTGGCTTTTACCATATTTGAACATTTCTTCCATTAACATTGTTAAACAAATCCTACCGATTTGTTGCCAAGTTTTAGCCTTTAATTTGTTCAAAACCTAACGAAAACAGTCACGGTGGTTCATTAAAAATGTCTATAAACACGCTCCCCAATTCGTAAACGAAAGGATCGTATGTCATTAGTGTTCGTGCGACAGACAATCTTGTATAATAATACAACAACAAAAAAAGCTAAATAATCAACATATAGTAACACAACCATTTACGAAAGTAAGCCGATTAATCCATGGTGGTGCACATGAAAAGTGAGTGCCTAAATGATACACTCTAGAACAAGAAGTTAACTACTCGGACTGTGAACTAAACGATACACTCTTCAGAAAGGTTTATGGTAGCCTTCTACTTGAAAAAGAGTATGGACTAAAGCAGGGGTACTGAAGAATGGGAGTTTAACATACTTGCCGGCAAGAGCACACCTTACACACTCGAGCATGACTGAAACGTACACGAGTGCCACAACTGCCCAGTATTCTATGCCGAATGTGCCATTGAAGTGTATAAGCGGGAAAAAATTGCTCGAATACCAGACCACTTGCAGCATTGTCTCTAATAGCATTGCCATGATTACATGGTACCTGAAGAAGTGAGGCCACTCTTTTTTCTTCACCACTCCAAAATACGCCAAGAAGAAATATATCATTGTGAACCAATATGGCAACCTCTTTATTGCTCCTGGGACATAATAAACCAAGTCTCCAAACAATTCATAGTGTTCTGTGAAGGGTTGAATATAAAACCCGGTATCAGACATCTGCAGAGCGATTAAGTAGGGGAGACATGCTAAAGTTCTCCACCACCATTCTGGCTTCTCTTTCATTTTCGGAAAAGGTATACTGATGGAGTTGCTCTTCTTTGCTTGTGTCAATGTTGAAGATTTCCGTTGTCTTGGTAACATGGATATGTTGTGTGACTGATCGCCTTGATTCCCTCTTAACAGTCTCGATGACGTAAAAGAAAGGTGCAAGTTTGGCAATCCTGAAAATTACATGTTTGGGATTATAAGGACATAAACAATCTCAAAGATGATCCTATCTAAAAGGCATTGCTTCTGTTATACATGACACATTAAAAGAACTCATGGTAACACAAGCAACTGATTAATTTCAAATCAGGTTATATGAGAAACACGGATGATACTCGACACGAAACTTTGCATACCTTTCGGGGCCCAGGAATGCAGATTGTGGTTAGGTTGTTGTATACTCCTGCTACTTGACAGTATAGGCACTGCATTGAAGTTAGATCTGCATGCAACCCGGTTGGGCTTGTTCTGTCTTTTTAGATTCACATCCTTGTACCTAGTTAAAGACCAATATAATATAATTGATTAACATGAGCTGGGAAACGATCATATAGACTTGGCAAAACTCCTGTTTCATTACTCCAATGCTGCTAATAATTTTCTCTATTCCAGACCAGAAAAAGAAAAGGTGGATCTCAAGACTGTTAATTGTTGTAATCTGGAAAAATACTCGAAACAACAAAACCAGTTAAAATCTGTCGTCCAAGGCTCAGAAAAAGGGACTCATAGACTAAAATTCCAACACAATATATTTGTCATTGGAAAGTCATTTCGATCCTCCAAATAATCTCAATTCTCAAGTGAACCAACTTTATGAGTTTTCAAAATTAGCTATGGCTTCCCTTAGCACTTACAAATAAGCGATTCACGAATGTCACACTCTATGCCACATTAGAAGTTCAAAGTGTAACTCTACCATAATCTTTAACCAAAAGCAAGGCTACTCAATACTCAAAAGTGTCCCCCACTTATACACTTAAAGCGCTAACTACTGATCGTTAATGCAAACGATAAATGATGACTTAATGGAATGAAAAAGTACTTAAAAATCAAATATCAAAGAATGTTAATCCTGCAAACATGACTGGGGAGACAGGGGAAGAAGGCATCCTACACCATAACAATTGAGTCAGCACAAAATTGCCAATAAAATTTGCCAAATGCCATACAAATCTGATTCACACACACAACTAATCACATTCCATTGCCTAGAAGATCTAAATCCATACCATACAGCTACAAAGGGATTATCGATAACTAATTTCTAACCAGACCTACTTTTCGACCTTGAATTTAAAGTTGAGCTTACAAGAAGAGTGCTAAAATTACGAACCAAGATTCAGCTCATGTAACAAACCTCTAAACTACATTCAGAATCTCATAAATTCCCAGTTTTTCCCTCTTTCATAACATCAAAACTACGAAAATTCGAATTAAATTTTTCGTTCCTAAAAGTATAATCTACCACATTATGAAACACAAATAATCCAGAAACGACCTACCACAGCTCAAACACTAGAATAATTAATTTAGATGTATTACAACAAACACTATTAACTAATAACAACCCTAAAAACAACCAAATTCTCCACTTCTCCAGGAATTAAGAAATCGAAAAGAGAAAAATGCACGACGCCAACAAAACCCAGAAATGGTTCCCTCTTCCGAATCTACTTTTCCAAAAAAGAAACGATTTTTAGCATAATACAACGTTTCTCCGGCGATTTTATATAAACAATCAGGTTTTTAATTTTTGGTTTCTAAATTTTGTTCATTTTCCCTTTGTTGTTGTCGTTGTTTGTAAATTTTGTGGTTTTCGGAGAACAAAAGAAGGTGTAGCTGCGAGGAGGAAGAAAACGTACCGGGACGCAGCCGGGGAGGCAAGAACGCTGAGACGGCAGCCCAAGGCGGTCGCCATGGCTTCTTGAGATGTGTTGTGGGTTCTCTCGCACTCTTAGAAACTCGTCTCAGTCTGCCTTTCTTTCCCCGCAAGTATATGGCCCACCCTATTTTATAGAATTTCCACAGGGCTTTGTTGTAATAACCAAAACTTCAGGGGTCTGTGCGTACTTTTCCATTTTTAGTGGTGCACTTGGTTTTGTAAGAGAAAATTATCATATTTCTTTTTACGGTAATTGTAGCTCAAGTGGTTCAAAATATTTATCAAGTTAGTTTGATGCTATTTGGTTCTTCCCTTAGAGCAACCATTATTGTTGTCCTGAAAGTCCAATTTTTGGATAGTAAAAAAAAAATAAAAATGTATATATATATATTTTTAATATTTTGAAGGAGGTAGGGGTAAGTTGAAGACGATAGTTGTTTCGAGAAAGAATTATGGAATTGGTCTAAAGAGAACATCAACTTTTTTGCACAAAATGATGTGATACCAATTAAATTTGTACTTTAATTTAAGTTGAAATTGGTTAATAATTGTAGTAAAAATTTATATGATGCAAAAAGTGTCACATCATTTAGTGCAAAAAATGGTGCAAATATTTGGTGTAAGTAGCACAACCGAAGAGTAATGCTCGATACATCAAATTTGCTCACCAAATCATGCACTAAATGATGTGGAACCAATAAAATTTGTACTTTAATCCAAGTTGAAATTTGATTACTAATTGTAATGAAAATTTGCATTGCGATAGCAAAAGGGCAAACAAACGGTATTACAACGCCAGTCCATAACAATTACATCACATCCTTGAAAATCACATCGGCTATGAAGCCAGGAGGTATATCTAACCAAAGACATGGACTAACAACTCCAAGGGCATAACGAGCAAGGCGATGGGCGATGGGCGATGGGCGATGCCATCGGCTTGAAGACAAACATGGTATACCAATTTGGTGCATGAATTTGATTCATGTTAGTCTAAACTATTCTAATTTACTGACAATGTCATCAACCTCAGGCATAGAATTACAAGCACGCGTTTACATGAGGTTATTTATTCGATTCCCCTCTTCCTCAGTGTCATATTTGTCTTCTACTTTTTATAGTTGAAGGGGTAGGTGAAATGGCATTTGCTCCGTCAAATATTCCCACCAACTAAAAGGGTAAGTGCGCAAGTTAGCAAGAAATTCTCATGTCATTTGTAAATATGGAAAATAATGGGCACCTTGAGAAAATTGCAGAATTTCGAGTCAATAGAACTTTTTGACATTCTGGACCCTTCTTGCTAAGAGTTACAGTAAATAGATTAAATAAATATCAACCAATTTCAGACATTAAATAATTCTTTACATGAAACGCTGCGTTTCATCCGATGTTCGACCAAAAAGTCCTATGCAGAGGAGAGGAGTTCTGGGATACGCTTGCACGACTTAGACGCTTCTTCCTGTATCTCCATGCTACTTGAATTCTCTTTGCTGCAAGACCTCTCCAATACGGTGACTCATACCTATCAAAACAGAAGAACATCATCTCTCACTACCAATAATAGTTCGACAACAAGACCGAGCGTTTGTTGTTTAATAAAGAATAAATTGTCGATATGTTACAGCTAATCTGTTTATATTGTTATGGCTAACAAAATGTACCAACATGTTAACGATGCATGAATGAGTTTGGTTTTGCTTAACTTTACGATTAAAATGTTGCCTCTAATGAATATTTCACGGGAGGTAAACAAGAGCAAAAGGCTATATTTGTTGAAACTTGAAATAGAAGAAACCTTATGGCTCCTTGCACGCGTGCATTCCGCAGGAATCTTGCAAAACGGCTGGTGAACTCTTCAAGATCTGCTGCTCGCAGCGAAAATGCTTCAACGTTACTTAAGCACCTTACCATCCTATTGCTCAACAATTTCCGACCAGGAATCCTGACTTTTTTTCCATCCACGAAACAAAACCATGTCGGGTGAGTATGTAAGTTTAGGCATGTCACTACTAATTTGAGTCAACAAGATGTTTTTAAACCAGTGATAAATGAGTCAAAAGTGAAAACCATGGTTTACTGAAGGATGCTCGAGACACCATGTGAGAAGTTCCTCGCCGCAAACATCTCCTTCGCATAACGAAACAACAATCCCATCCTCCCCAATGCTCTCTACTCTTCCGCGCACGATAAAAACCATCTTCTCAACTAGACCTCCAGGATAGAAAATCTTGCTTCCTTTTATGTATGTCTTTTGTTTTAGTTTCTCACAGATTGCATCCAAAACCGGGTCTTCTAGGAGGGTAAAAATCCGAACCTGCAAATTTATCTTGTAAGTTATGGGACAATAAACGGTGCATTAACAAAAATTTGGTAGCATTATATCCTAAAACCATGCCAATATTGTCTTATACGAGTGCAGCATCTAAAAGCAAAGAACGCGTAAGTAATGTAACCTCAGATTGACTACTCTGTTAGAATATATGATAGAGATCTTACTTTTTTCACAAATTTGAAGAGATGGCGTCGTATATCTCTTTGAAGGTCTTCGGGCAGATTCTCCAAAAGCATTTCTTCATTTACACCTCTAGTGGCAGACCAGTTATACCGTTCAGCTTGCCTTACTTGCCTACACACACGACGCAATACATCAGACTATTTGGATCAAAGTTGAAGATAATTACAGAATGTTCTAGCTGATCTGCAAAGCAGTTAGAGTTTTTTTGAAATTTTTCGGGGATACCAGAACGCTCTGGAAATTAAGAGCGCAGATTTGCATACATCCGGCAGAACAATGATGCCAAACTTTAACGTACGAGGATATATTTGCATTACTTGGTGACTAGAATTTAAGCAAATTAAGTTATAATTCAAACATACCTTCTCAGTTCTTCTGGTAGATGGCGATAGCTCATCCACCATTCTACATCACGACGTCTCAATAACATCTCAAATCTCCTGAAAGAGAAAAATACAAGGTGATCGTCACATTTCATGAAATTATACAGAACCACTGCTAATGATTCGTTTTTCATGTGTAGGTGATGCTTTTTGTTATTGGTACTATGTACGTACATCTAATCCAAGTCTGACAAACTTGTTGGTACTATTCTTACGTATGCCCTACATCAATACTTGCATAGATCTCCTTATTTTCAGTAAACGTCTGTTTTTATGAAGACATTCAACGAGCAGTGTGGTCAATATTAGCTCTATCCCTTTCAAGCAGCTTGGGTATGTAGTAGATTTATGAAGTGAAAATAATAGTAAAAGTAGTACCTCCGTCCAAGAGACTGAAGAAAATTCTGCATATTTCCAATTAGAAGAGCAAAAAGCAAGAGGCCAAGTCCGATAATTGCCATGGTAAACAGGACTTCCCAAACAAAATAGCTTGGAACTTGATTTCCCGCCAGAGTGCTGATTTGCTTCATAAAACCACATATGATATGTTAGCAGAAGGGTAAGTTCATTTCGCCGGAGCAGAGTTGCAGCAAAAATTGATCAAATCATCAAATAGACTAACTATCCAGTTTGAAAATTAGTATAACGGAATAACATACCTGGAATCCCCAAAACAACGAGTATACATATTTAGTTATTACGCTATCTGCAGTAGTGAGATCGACAGCTTTAACATAGATTCCATAGGCAAAACCCTCTTCACTAAAACAAGTAGTAGCATTCTCATTGTCTATCCAGTTCGCCCATTTCCATCCTTGCTCACCAAACCCACAGTCTATGAATTTCATGCACAATTCACTGGGGATATCAGAGTTATGACATGCATTTCGAAGACATTGATTAACCCTCTGCGACAAGAAATGAGAATAAAAGGGGGGAAATTTAACAAATAATGAAACTCTTCATGCATGCAAGGGCCTCCACACACCTGTAAGCCAAAGAGGTACCAGCAGGACCCAACAACGTGGCCAGCCAACATGAAAGTGAGGAGGTTTATTACGAAGTTTGTCCGTGCTGACTCAAGCACAAATCCATATGGGGACTGACCAGCAAGCAGAGGTAGAAATCTATACAATCTGGGAATGTACTGGAAAAGAACTGCCATGCGTAGAAGATTCTTTGCGTCATTTGCTCCAGATGATCCGAAAAATTGTGGTAAAATAGCCAAAATTATGATCTGAAAACAATTCAAACTCGCTAAATCATAGAAACAAGACGGTAGCAATATGAAAGGAAGCATGTACAATCACGTGATGGCGTCTGTGAAAAAAGGGAGAAGAACATCAAGCCTTACTTGAGGAAGTGGTAAAACGATAAACAAGTCAACGAGAAATTTTCCCTGGAGATAATGGAGAGCAATTTTCTTTGGTTGGTCCACTATCTCTCCAGCACCAACTACTCTAGACTCAGGAGCAACATAAGCCAACCTAAACTGCAAAGAATCACTTTCAAAAAATTAGTCGGACTCTAAGTTAGACTGTAAACAATCTTGGAGGAAACTTCCCTGTAATAAGCTTCTATAACATATGAACCAGAAGAGGCTAGTAAAGCTACCGATTTAGAAACAACAGATTCACATGAAAGACTTGTCTCAAAGCACGGTAAAGCATTTACCTGGAGAAGCATGTGCAAAAAGTATATCAAATCAGTTATTGTTCTGAAGAACACCATTATTGTGGTCAGGGGCTTGCTGATAACGAGGCACTTATATTCCTGTATTTTAAGAAAGTAAATACCAGACTTAGAAGAATTTTGCTTTATAATTCCAAGCATCAAACAAATCTTCTATGGAAAAAGAGAAGGAAATGAGACGAACTTCTTGTGTAGGAATGAGGGAAACAAACCTTCCATGCAGATAACACGAAGAAAAACAAAGGGTCTATAAAAATCGCCACCAAGCAAGCTAAGACAAAGAATTTATTCCATTGTTGCACACCCTTAGTGTGAGGGCTCATGACTCCTGGAATACGTTGATTTAGAAAAGAGAAACATCTTCTAAACCACCCTTTAGCATCGTCATAGAAAGAGATATGAATCTGCAGGATTCAAAAGACATGAAACTGAAAATGCATAAAAGTTTTCAAACTAGCATTAGAAAGTTCCTAGAAGTATACAGATAACAAGACGGCAATCAACGGAATCCACTCTATAAATATTTAGATTCTGGAACCAATCAACAACAAAACTCCTTGACTTCACGAATTCTCTGCACTCAAAATATGACATCTGACCTGCTGTATGAGCAATAAAGCAGACAAAATAGGTGCTTATGTACGTACGCGGTCCAAGAAAGTCCTCTCCTTTTAACCATTCTGCCTATAGTAGAGCATTCAACCTCAGATAAATGACTAATGTGCCTCTAATAAGTTACATTTTCTACATTAGCTCACAAGTTTCAAATAGTATTGGGCTATAATAAGCACATACAACAATGCAGTTAAAAAGAATTAAATTTGGTGTGAGAATACAAGGTGAGAAAAACAAAACCTTAGAATTGAAAAGCCTTGAAGCTTTTCGGTTTTCCTGCTTAGCTGATTTCAGACTCTGACGTGTTGAGCAAATTGTGCAATAAGAATCTTTGCACACTCGTAAATGCTGGAACGGAACACATGCATGCATGAATGGACTTGAATGGTCTCCAAGTTCAGTTTCAGTTGCATTGGATCCCATTGAACTCATAGAAATGGAACTTGGCACATCCAGGGAAATGGATTCAAATTTCTGGAACTGAGAATCGGCATATTGATATGAGAATTGCGAATGTAGCATTGGTGCCTCGTCGTTTTCTGAAGCAGCCATTTCTCTTGAAGAAAGCATACAAAGGCAAATCAAAATTTAGTAATATATGCAGATTGGTTAGAGGAATAGAGGAAAGTTTTAGATAGAAGGAAGTTTTATGCCAATACATGCAGATTGTGGCAGAACAATCTGAGACAATTTACTTGAATTCAACAACCCTAAATCAAACAATATAATAATAAGTTGGTTGTTCTTGTCCCCTTCACCCCAGTTCGGATCTCCCTCCCTCTAGATCACAGTAATTTAGAAAATGTTTCATACCAAAAATAAAAAACCCATCAGAAATTGACTTCATAATTTTGTTTGATTTCTCAGTTCTCACTTGGTCTTATGTATTAAGAAGAATAAAAGTGAACTAATCAACACCCTAAACCCTAAAACCAAGTACAAAGTGATTGCATGATATCCAGAAAGTTATAAGAACATAATTTTGTTTGATTTTTGTTTCCACACAAACAAAATACCAAATCAATGAAAATAATTACTAACAAAAATAAAGTATTTGAAAAATTAAATTAAACAATTAAAAACAAATTATTAAGCACAAACCCAATCAGAGCTGAATTCTCTTGACTATTGAGTCCAAGGCAATTGAAGAGTGGAGCTTCCGAACTTATGTTTTTGTTTTTTGATCAAACATGTGATGGGAAGGCAAAAGCAAAGAAAACAATTCATGGTCTCGTTGTATCCAAATTAGGAAAGAAAAAAAAAAGAGTAATTCACAACCTAAAAATCGTTTATTTCCAGAATGAATGAGATAATATCCATTAATCTACAAGATTATTAAAAATTATGTTTTCCTTTTTAAAATTATCTTTGTTTCTTTCACATGACCAAGTCCCATGTATGAAAATGGAAGAAATTTGAATTCTTTTATTTTATTCTACATATGGCTTTGCTTTTTCTGGCCTAGTTATCTGTGAGTTTGACAAAAATTAAAGAGTGAGATATCAAATGGGTACATCTTGGCACGTTAAGAAATTTATTTTTGGATTCTCTTAAGTTTCAAGTAAATAATGGTATCTTAACGCGAAAAACAATAGGTAAATAATGTTGTCAAACTCAAGGCACATTCTGGGTTCAACGTTGGTTAGGGTTGAAATGTCTTTATAAGTCTTTCGATCCCAAAAAGATGTCATTGCGAAGCCACTAACTAGTTCATTTATAAAAGAGAAAAAAAATAATGATGTAAAATTCAATTGCTCCTCTAATTTGGAGTATCATTATCATACAATAAAATTTATTGAAGATCATCATGTGTCACACAAATTGAAATAAGATTAGCGAAGTTAAAATTAAATTCTAGGATTGTTTTACTCACAACCCACATGTTATTGAATACATTTGAAATACTAAATATACCCCACATCTATTTTTTCAATTAAAATTTATCTTCACACACCCCCACATACTTTCTCTTATACCCTTACGCCCTCATTTTCTAGATACACCCCACATCAATCTCGCATACTCCGTAGTTTCATAATGTCCTATATATGTGTTTCAATTCTTAGATGTGATGATCAAAGACAAATTACAAAACTTGGTTTAGAAAAATTATGTCATTTCGATTAGGTACCATATGTCCTTGCTTAAGCCTATGAACCTTTATGTAATACTTTAAATTTGATGGCAGTGAGTTTAATGATGATGTTAAACAGACCTTATCTTCTGAAAATAAATATCATTCTCAAATAATGAAAAACATGACGTCCAGAGAAGAAGAAATCGCCTATGTAGCATTGGCAACGAAACAAAATGAAATCTCACGTGCTTCTGCACTAAAGATTTGTCGACATTTGAATTCAATTTAAAACGCAGTTCACAATAATCAGGCGTACAGGGTAGTGGTTTGCATTGGATTAGATCACAATAGTGTGTGTTCACCTAGTAAGGACATTGTGAGTATTATACCCTTATTAAATTTTTCTTAATCTGCTTATTAATCTGGTAATTGGTATTTGTTAAAAGTAACGAGTTTACCAGTTGCGAGATTATAAAGGGGTTCTATATTGCTTTCTTCCAACCTTTCTAGAACAAGTTAATTATGCACTGATTTTGTGAATTTCTTATTGGGGAAGATTTTTCTGTCATTTGATGTAGCAAATGATGATAGAAAGATGTTCATCAATTGTAGTATACCGTAAATTCTCAATTCGATGAAATCGGAATATGAATTGGTTAGGTGAGATGAGGGTGAAATGTAATTTTATGCGTAAAAAAAAAATCCTTACACATTACCACATACTAATTTCGTCAAGAAAAATAGGGAAACTGACTAAAATAGATAGATTTCAAAGAGGCGGTGGAAAAATTAAAAAAAACTGAATGCATCATAGAAAATATCTAGACCATGAAATGATAAACGCCCATGGTTGTAAGTAACAATATCAACACAAACATTAAACACAATTTCATAAAATTTTGAATCATTCTCCTATTTGGTGTCCAAGAAGCGGCGCTGCAACGAAGTCGACCAAGGGCTGCCATCGCCTTTGAAAGCGATCTTTAGATCTATTTCAGAGATTTATTTCGTAGTGTTTGATAATTAATAATACTCCCCTCATGGTGAATACAATTATAAATTAACTCTCCAAAGTTGAAATTAGAAAGAAAAAAGCCAATTATAATTTTTGTAAACATGTCAATGGATCAAATTTTGATCTGAATCCGATGTAACCACCAAAATATGGATCGACTCCCAATTATAAATAGCAGATATGAGTCAAGGTTGATATGATCCGACCTTATATAACATTTTGCTTAATTTTTATACTATTTTGAAAATATTATACTGGTGTATGTTGTAATTTAAGGTCTTTATTAACTCAAAAATACACTAATACCATTTTTTTTTTGTTATAGAACATGATAATTCTAATTGAAAAGAGTATACATAATGAGATAGTGAAGTTACAAAGGATATTTTATTATGTTTTAGGTTTTAAATAGAGCCGATTCGGTTCAAATCTGATTCTTATTGGATATGTATCTTCAAGCTAGATCTGATGATCAAAATATTTTTCAGATCTGAATTGTTCAATTTCTTAATTTTTATTTGAAGATCATGCCTACAAAAGATCATTTGAATCGGAAATCTTTTAGTTATTAAATTGTATCAAATAAATGAATAGTATAGGTACCAAATAATATATTAATGATGATTATCCATTTATTTAATATATTTTGATGACTAAACAATATCTGATTCAAAATATTATTTGTGAAGATCAAATTTCTATATATGTTATATACAGGTGTAGAGCATATATAGTTCATGCAAATTAACCTAGGCCAAAAAGTTATTTGGTCCAAATGGTAAATTTGAATTTCTAATGGGACATATTTGGCCTAGACTAAACTAGCCCAGGACTCTCCAAGTGGATACTTTAGTTCGGCTTTGTCTGATGCTCTTGAAGGGTCAACTTAGGAAGAAACCGGTAGTCAATGAAAATTAGTTACCTAACATTTAGGCCCCTAGCCTCTTATATCATTAGAATAACAAAGTTTTAAGAGGGCTCAATTTCATGAATAATGGTATTTTGACAGGCCAAATAAAGCCTCCAGGCCCTGCGCCTTGCCTTTTCCACTAGACTTGCACTTAAAAAAATGAGTATGATTCTCTTCCTTTTTTTTTTCTCTCCCCTTCCCTCCTCTCATATTTGAATGGTTACGGTTAAGTCACGTCAATATCTTATATTAATTTTTTATAGAAAGAGAAAAACAAAATAGAGAATGTGAGAAGAGAGGATAGAAAGAAGAGGGGAGAGAATCATAATCCTTAAAAGAATCCTATTTGTCATCCAAATAGGGTTAAACTGATGATTATGGCCTTTGAATGCTTAATGGTTTTAATTTTTGTTTCAAAAGTCATAAGTGTTATAGTAACAACAACAACAAACCTTATTCCATTAAGTGGGGGCCGGCTGTATGAATCATAGAATGCGATTGCACTCGGTTTTGCGCCAAGTTTTATGTAGCTCTAATTACTCAATATCTTTTCTTATAGTCTCTTTTAAAGTCTTTCTAGATCTTCATCTACTTTTTTTACCCTGAGCTTTCGTCTCATAAGCGCATCTTTTAACCGGAGCATTTGTAGGTCTTCGATACATTTGTCCAAACGATTTTAACCGATTTTAACCGATTTTCTCTCATCTTATCTTCAATTGTGACCACCCCTACTTTACCTTGGATATCCTTATTCATAATTCTATCATTTCTCGTGTGCCCACACATCCAACTAAGTATTCTCATCTCCGCTACACTCATTTTTTCCACGTGTTGCTTTTTAACCATCCAACATTCCATGCCATAGAGCATCACTGATCTTATTACTGTCATACAAAAATTTCCATTGAGCTTCAGGAGCATACGACGATCACAAAACACACATGATGCACTCTTCCACTTCATCCACCCAACTTTTTATTTTTTTGGTTAAGATCTCCATCTAATTATCCGTTATTTTGTAAGGTAGATCTAAGATAACGAAAACGTTCACTCTTTTGTACTTCCTGATATCTAATCCTCACCCTAATCTTATTTAGGCCTCTATTCTCACTGAACTTGCATTGCATATACTATCTTTGACCTACTTATGAGAAGACCTTTAACTTCCAATACTTCTTGTCAAAGGTTAAACTTCCCTTAGCGTCTCATCTATCAACACTATATCATCTGTGAAAAACAAACACTAAGGGATATCATCTTGATTATGTCCCATTAACTCGTTTATTCAATGCAAAAAGGTATAGACTTAAAGTTGAGCCTTGGTGTCCTATGGGTATAGGAAATCTTTCAGTTTGTCCTTTATGAGTTCTTACTGCAATCTATGTTCCATCGATATTCGTAAGAGATAGATTGTCTCTATTGTCAAGCACCATGACATGAATTTGAATTGATTATCTAAGACCCATGTTTCTTGCCTCAATCTATACTCAATTACCCTATCCCCAGTTTGTAGATGCTATGCTCCATTGAGTATCTGGCAATAGTTTCATGTATGTTATGGGATGTTAAAGTTTCGAGTTCGAGCCTAAAATCATTGGAAGTTACTAGGTGTGTTGGAATTTCAGAACGCAGGAGAAGTTTTAGTATTGTGAGATTTCAGGTCGAAGCTATGAATCTCGAATCTTTTAGACTATATAATGTTTTTATATGCGATATGCGCAATGGGGACGTTGGTATTTTCTCTTGTCGAAAAATTTGAAATCTGGAGATTTTTTCTGCATGGTTTGATGACCAATGGTTTGAAGGCCTCAATTCCAAATTTCCCATCCTTGAGAATTTGGTGTTGCAAAATTACATGAACTATCAGCTAGATACAATGTCGAACATCGATAGTCAGCATCTGAAACGCTTTGAGCTTGTTGGAACCAGCAATCGTATTGATCTGGCTACGATCAATGCTCCAAATCTAGTTTCTTTTTCGTACAGTAATGAAAGTTCTCCAGATTTTGGATTACCTGATCTTTCTTTGATTGCTCCGAGTTTATTAGAGGCCACAATCACCTTCGTCTGCAGCTTTGCGGCAAAAGATTTTCCTCCTCTGATAAGTTTGTTGAATTGTAGCCAAGTGGCAACTCAACATCACCTTTTAGCTATTAAACAAAGCAAAAGAAAGAAAAAGACAAATGATTATGTTTGTTAAAAAGAAAAAAAGGGAGACATCATGATGTTGTTCCTTGCTTTGTGATGATGA